TTTCGTAAAGCCATATGCGAGATTCTGTAAAATGGTGGCATATGTATCCGATGGCCTCCATGGCCTACGAAACTTGAAAGTCACAATGTACAGAAAAGTTTAAAGTGACTGAATATCGCACGCCCAAGTCGCGAACTGCCCTGCATTGCGAGATATATGCGCCTTGTGGTAGTAGACTGTCCGCCGATACTTGGAATTTTTACGACAAATTACTATACTTGTCCACGGCAAATGACATTTGCCACAGTTGGCATCAGGAGTCAAGTGCAGATAGGTCATCCTGAATGTGACGTACGGCTTCCTGCGTATTCGAACGTTACTGTGAGTAGACAAATTTAATGTCATCAGCAAAGATAAACGCAACATCATTTCCAATTCTCTGCAAAATATCGTTAGTATAAATTTGAAAGAGCAGAGGACGAAGAACACTTCTTTGAATCACCCCAATTGCTTTCGGTATAAAAAATGGTCACCGATGCGCACCACCTGCTGTCTGTCTACCAATTAGACATGAAGACAGCCAAGAAAGCATCGGTTCTCCAATGTTCAGTAACCTACTGTAAGGCACCCTAAAGGCACTTTGCATATCCAGGAAGAGGATCACAACACTGATTCTGTTGTCTATGGCAGTCGTTGTGTGCTTTAAAAAGTCTGTCTGGCATGTTGCGCAGAATCGATCATGCAAGAAGCCGTGCCGCGAATTGCTGATGATGTTTGCCTTGTTCAAGAATACAAATAGTTTATCCTTCACAATCTTTTCTATTGTTCTAGATACGATGGATGTGTGAATGATGGGACGAAAGTTTTTAATCTGGTGGGCGGCGACACTTTTGTGTCGCGGGATAACAACAGAAGTTTTCCATTGAGTAGGATATACTCCGTTTTTAAAAAAGAGTGTAAAGATGTTGAGCAAAAGCAGAGGGAAGTCACTACCACTGCTTTTTAGTAAACAAGGGGGATCCCATCAGGGCCTGCGCAAGTTGAAGAGCATAAGCGAGAGACTTGAGTAGTGATTTTCGCCACAGTGAATTCCACTGTGCATAGACTTTCACTGTTGTGCGGCATGATAAGTTCCGGTGTATCTTATGATTAATTGACCGTTGATTCGGCAAAATAAGCACTGTAAGCTTCGCAGATATCACCTGGTACGTCGAAGTATGTTCCATCAGGCGTGGTGAGAAAGTTGAAATTGTTGATGCGACGCGAACCCGGGGCACGGAATAGTTTGACCAGTTCAGCTGTTTTGCTAGGACCATTCAGAACTTTGTACTCTTCTAGAATGAGTTTTGTCAAGGTGATGCCTCTGTTCTTCGACGATCTTGAACTGCTGTAATAACAGCGCAAAGTCAGCAGTTAACCTGAATTTCCACCGGATCTTACACAGCTTTCGTGCTGCCATGAACGTTTTGCGAGCGGATTTATGTTTAGTTTGGTAAGGACATTTTAGTGGTTTCTGGGTTCAACTGTTCGCCGCGAGGAACTTCCTTCCTGTTCGTGTCTGTCCTTATGCTAGGACGTCTGCGTTGTTCCAGTCGAAGCGATCTTTCTTCGTCTGTATGTATTGAAACCAATGAGAGAGCGTAGTGGTTCTTACAAGCTCTCTTATGCTCTTGTATTCTTGCAGACAGTTGTCTTCTTATCTGACCTCCAGTATGTGGGTCTCTCACTGGTTTGAATACATACAGACGAAGAAGGACATCGTTTCGATTGGAACAACGTAAAGGTCTTAGCACAAGGAGAGACACGAAAAGGAAGAAATTTCCTCGCGGCATGGTACTCGACGAAGCACTCGAGAAACATGCACGTCGAGATTGATACAGTTTACGAAACGCTAAGATGGAGAGAAGTAAAACAACTTAAAACCGTCGTGAGCAGCTAAACGAGCCGTCAACAATACACCCGCAACAGCCGGGGCAAAACCATCCCACGGATCGCCCGTGTCTATCAGAGAAGTTGGGCAGGCGGATGGTCACGCGGCACAGATCGAGGAGGTCAATTCGAAAGTCAATCGCTAAACAATCACAAATCGACGACCAAGTCAGCGGATTACGTTTGACCCAGCAGCGCACTGAGGAAGTCACCTGATGTGGTGATGAAAGGTTTGCACACCAACTGCGAAGCTCGGCGAACAGTTGAACCCAGGAATGACCAACCCGGGCTACCAGTGCATCAAGTCATTATAAACATGTTAATGATACCGCTGAATTGATGCAGAAGCCAAGTATACTATAAAAAAGGTCCGTCGCTTGTTGAGGACATGAAGAGAGAAAGAAGTTATCCCAATTCATCGAACGAACCAAGTCCTTGAAAGAGTAGCAGTTGACGGAACTGAACAGACGATAATGCATTGTGTTCTGTACCTCGGCCATGCGTAGTCTTAGGCGGCATTTGACCACGCGATGATCGCCACTCAGAAATTCAACAAGAACGCTAACAGTGATTGCAGGTATGCCCAATGAAAAAATGACATTCAGAGTGCTTTCACCTCTGGTAGGTCGGGAGACGTGTTGCTGCCAGACATTCATCTGGATACAGGAGATAAAATTTCGGCATTTCAAAGGAGCGATTCCCATGGGCCATGAAATCGAGGACAGATTGAAATAACTTCTAATAATCTTATATATAAATAGTAGGCTAGTGGAGCATTCAAATGCAAACGTCAAAAGTTTTAGACCTTCTTGGCTGCAGTTAGGCGCGCTGTATATACATCCCATAAGCAGCTGCTGCTGATTAACAGATATCGTAAGCCATAGTGACTCCTGGACATTGTTCAGCACTGGGTTATTGAACGTTGCTGTTGCGAGCGATTTTTTCAGATAAATTGCACAGCCATCACCTCGACGACTAGGCCGATGTGTCATAACCTTGTCGTATCCGAAAATAGTTGACTGATTGTCAGACATGTCATCATGACACCAAGATTCAGTTATAAACAAGATTTCAGAATTATTCACCAAAACAAATGAGTGTAGCATGCGGATTTTACAGTGAAGAGAACAAATGTTTATCAAAAATACTGAGATAGTTGTGAGATATGAGGAAGAATTTTTATGCTGTTTTATAAACTTTGGGCTCTCAGCCGTGTGCCTGGACCTAGGCTAGAAATTGTTGGAACAGAGCGTGTATTGCCAACGGGGGAAAATGATTTGGAGGTGGTCACAGCGGAGGGGCTTGCGACTGAGTATGGCCTATAAGAAAAATAATTGGAGGGAAAGAGTCCATGACTGTTGTAATAGTTTATGGGAGCTGGAGAGTTAAGTTGTGTCTCTGCATCATGTCACTGATAGGCTGTTGATCACGTAAAGCATTGATAGGAGTCAGTGGGCAGCTGTCATTTCTATCGATGGGTAAAATCCGTTTACGTGCGCTCGATATACAAGACTTCACCATAAGCGGTGGAGGCACACTAGTGTCAATCCACCATACGCATAATCCGTGTGATTCGTTGATAGAATAGGAAAGTGGTCGTACCCAATTACACCGGGTCTTCACACGGTGAACATAGTGAACATATTTAATAACAGCACGGGCATGTCGACACCCCGAAGAGGTACTTTACCTGGTCCGCCGAAATAAATAAAATAGATAAATGTTTTATTCCCGGCAGTGCGATGCATACATATGAGGGCAAGATCATGATAATACAAATAGGTATGGTCAGTAATTGTACAAAAATATAACAAGTTAACCAGTAACATACTGGATTTGTGTGTATGTATATGTGTAAGTGGACATGGTGAGTGAACTTGTGAAGTGTGACTGAATTCGTGGGTTTGTTTGTTGTGTTCGTCATCATATGAAGGGATCAAAGGAACTCTCCGAACTAGATGACGTTCGTGAAGTGGGGAAAATCTTCCGAAAGAGGAAGAGGCAATGACTTCAGTTAGTGGCGAGTCACATCCGCCACATCGCAGTGGATTGTATAAGCTTGCGTAGGTCACGGAGTTCAAACTTGACATGGATGAGTTGATCAACTGTGGATGGTGGTGTGTCCAACCTGGGATAGTCATTATCCACGTTAAATGAGTTGCAGTAGTGATGACTAGATATTTCACTGGCATGGGTAGGGTCGGTTATTATGCAGTTATCTGCTGCAACCGGTGAGTACGTGCCTTGATTGTGTTCGGTATTCCTGCCCTTTAAAAGACCGATTAGTTCACAGTTTTTATACGGGCTGCAGAAGGCTCGCTTTTCATCAGCGACCTGTTTGGTGTGATATCCCAGCCGTTTAGTTGTGGTCAACTTTTGGCATTGTAGCAAACAAAAGAAATCATTTGTTTCATGGTATGCTGTAAGAAACTTTTGACTTTTATGGCTATTTTACTTGACGTAGACGTCTTGTTCTTATGAAGAAAGTGCCGATGCATAGTAGAAGCGAGTGTATCAGTACGTATGTTGGTGTTACTGCAGTGAACAGCTGCTGCAGCCTGTGAGTATACAGTAAGGTAAAAGGTGTATGCGTGAGCAGATCGCATTAACTTGGCAAACAGACCCAAGTCGATGGTTTCAAACTTTTGTATGGCTGCCTAATTCTGCCAAGAGATTTTGATTTCCCACTATTTTGATGCTGTGCATTTCTTCGCATTTCGAGCCGTCCTCAGTTGAGCAGTAGTTGCACACTAGTGTGGACCTATGGAAGAAAACTGCACTAATCTCGAAATTAACCCCGAAAGCATACTCTCATCAACCGGAAGTGCTTGACAATCGAAGAATGTAGTTATTTTCATATCGTTTTTATCTCAAATTCCTACAGATAAAATATGTAAAAGTCTGTGAAATTTGATCCGTCCATCTGTGTGGGCAGCCTATCGAGAAGCTGAGAAATATACGTGCATTTATTTTTGATTAAGTAAAAACATTTTTGTTGGAAAAGTGTGATTTGGAATTCCGGGTGCTATATTTCAACAATAAGGTATTATTAGTCAAAGGGCAAGATGAACATGAAACAATGATATGCTGAAAGTAAGAGCGTTCACTTCCAGAAAAAGAAACACATTTACCTGATTTATCCGAGGTTCCCCAGCGCCAAAGCCAAAACCAACCATCATTGCTTGTACTCCGTCCAGTTCGGAGGTGCTCTTGCTTCTGATTCTGATCATCTGATGTTTTACCATACTGGTTTGTAATACTCAGAACTTCAAAGCTCAGCGCTAGCCCGGAAGCCCGATTTAATCCGGGAAGGCCAAGTTGACACTCGATTCGTATATTAACCTTTCGCAACACGACAGTAGTTTGAGCGATTACTGGAAGTCAACAACAATGCAACAATAAAGGTAAAGGCGGCAGAATGAAGATTTAATTAAGAAAAGGGTGTTGTGGCAAACCAAGCATAAAAACTACTGGACGAGCGGAGGATAGGTTAATCAACCAGTGCCAAGACAAAGAAATCTTTGTAGTTGGTCGTCATGGTTGTGGTCCTTCTGAGATGAAAATGAAAGAATAACAGACCATAGAACACAAACAATGCAAAAGTGCAATGAAGAGATTGAAATAGTTAAATTCGACATGGGGTAACCTTAACATAGGGCAAAAGGCCAAACAGAAAAGCCCTGTAGAAATCGTAACTCAATAGTTTCAATTGGAACATAGGATCCATCACGTGCCTGATCCACACGTCAAAAATCAGAGACAAAAACTACGAACCAAAAAGAGGCCAACGGTCGGATACGCTATGCCTACTTGCAGCGTCGCTGAGCAGCCATTTTGATGCCTCATGAAATTCGACTCATTGGAGAGGCAGTGGTAGTTTTTTTCTGCTTTGCTTTTTGGCAAATCATAATTCAGGTGCACAAGCGCGATGGATCCTGTTACCGTGACAAATTCAGCCATAAAAAGGAGAGTTAAAAAATGCTTGATAAAGAGAAAACAATCAGACAGATTCACGGGAAAAGGAGTAGAGAAAAGCGGCAACAGAGTGGGATAGGTTAACAGATAGAAATAGTCGATCAACTAATAGGTTACAACTGTTGTTGCGATTCGGCCACATCGGAGAGTGCCACGAATCGTTGTGAATGATAACGGTCATCCATTCGGCCATGCGGCATTAGCCAGTCGAACATCATCATCATCATCATCATCATCAACAGCAGTACATCAACCATTTGAACTAATGCTTCGCTGCCATACAACCTTGCGGACCTATGAAATAAAAATATAAGGAGAGAAGGGGGACTTACCTGAAAACCTTAATGCCCTAAGCAAACATTCAGGGTCAAGGCGCCTACACCTTGTGTAGACAACATACCGTCACAAACAGCTGGCTATCGTGCAAACATAAGGCGGCATCGGCGAGACAGCTTCCTTGCGGCTTTCACTGTCACGCGTCATAATCAGCCATTACCCCGCAGAGAACTCAGCACCAAACACACTTTAAACAGGCAGTCCGATTAGGAGACGGCAGCAGACGCGCCACTGGTGTCGGTTGCGAGCCATGTCCTGTAAAGTCTCGAGCCAAGCACAAGGCGAGTCACGTGGACTCCAGCCCGGAAGGCGAGACGGACCAACGGCACCCAGTTTGTTCGTCAGTGACTTCATTTCCCGCTGCCAAGTCAACTTCTGTCCACCTCGAGCCTTGCGCCACCCTACACCTGGTAGACTAAACAAGGCCCTCCTAGGTAAACGGTGACCAGACATACGTATCACGTGCCCGAGCCACCGCAACTTATTCAGTGCTATCTGTTGTGTTCTAGGGAGCTAGCATCATTATCACGACCTAGTACTCGCCTACGCACATCATCGTTGCGGACACGCTGATGCCATCCGACTCCAGCAATGCTTCGCAGACAACGATAATTAAAGAATTGAAGGCGCTTCAGATCTTCAGACCGAAGGAGCCAAGTCTCACTACCATAGAGCAGAACGGCCCTCACTGTGGCCTTGTATACCCGGCCCTTCAGATGGAGGGAAACTCCCTTCTGTCGCCAAAGATGCCGCAAGTTCAAGAAAGTAGCTCTGGCTTTTGCAGTGCGTGAGCTGACGTCAGTTTCTATGCGCCCATCATGGCTGATGCATCTGCCAAAATAAGTGAAATGATCAACCACCTCGAGTTCCTCGTTAGCAAGCGTCAAGGGGTCATCAAGTGGCTGGTGGTCCTGCAGTAACACTTTGCACTTTGAAGGTGCGAAGTGCATACGAAATAATGGGACCACTCTGGACAGGCCATTCAGGGTAGATTGGACCGCCCCGACATTGTCGAAAAGCAAGACAATATCGTGCGCATAATCTAGATCAACTAACCTTTCACCACGTAGCACTTGAACGCCTACATCGTGAGATTCCGCAAGGGAACACTCCATGGTAGAATTCACGACGAAATTGAACAAAAACGGGGAAATCGGACAACCTTGACGAACGCCACTTGTGGTCGGAAAGCTATCCGATAGGACACCGTAGACCCTGACCAAGCCTGTAGTGTTCGAGTATGGAGCACGAAGGACGTTCATCTATTTCATGAGAACACCTTTCCGAACAAATATTTCGAACAGAATCGATCAATCGAATGAATCGAACGCACTCTTGAAATCGAGGAACACAGCTATTGTCGATCTGCGGTATGCGTGGCGCTGCTCTAGCACCTGCCGCAAAGTGAATATATGGTCTATACAGCCGCGTCCTGGGCGGAAACCAGCCTGCTCTTCCCTAATCAGACATTCTCGTTCCGCAGTGAGGCGACGAACGATAATCAAGGCCAATAATTTTGTCACAACTGGCGCTAGGCTAATACCCCTGTGGTTAGAACAGTCCGTGCGACTGCCCTTCTTGTATAGTGCCACTATAATTGATTCGCTCCAATTAGCCGGGACACTTCCTTCCAGATACATTCGAATAAGGTCAGTGCTTTGCAGATGACCTCACCTCCATCCTTAAACAGTGCAGGTGGGAGGAAATCCGGGCCAGCGGCACGAAAACGATTAAGGGCTGTGATCGCGTTTCGGACCTCGGCATCCGACAGAGGCTCTAAACTAACCGTCCATGGCTCGTCCTGCATCACCTGAGTAGGAAGAGGTCCGGAAGCAAGGGGCCAGCTGAACTGATCTTGAAAGTGTTCCGCCCAACGAGCCATACGGCGCTCCTTATTGTGTATCAGCGCACCCGCGCTGTCTCTGATTGCCTTGTCAGCTTCCTTGTCAGCACGTAGGCTCTGCTTTAGTTCACGCCTAATAGCCCGTCTGGTCACATTGTGTTCAGAGCCAGCCGGGAGGTGTCTTCTAGATTCCAACAGGTTCACCGATCTCTCGGATATCCAGTGACTGGAGCAGTGACAATGGATAGTGCCAAAAGCTGATGCTCCTTCGTCGTGCATGGCGGCCGAGATCCTATTCGTAAGAAGCTCAGTGTCAATAGGACAAGACAGCGAAAGTTCGATACCCCGTGCGTCTTGATAGGCTTGCCTGACCGAAGACTGTGACAATTTCTCAGTTGCCAATTGGAGGAGACGCTTGGTGCCCCACCCGGTAAAGTTCATGGCGAAACCACAGCGTACCACAACATGATTAGAATCGACACAGGTACTCCAGTACGAACGGCAATCCAGGATGGAACCACACCATCTCTAACTTTTGGCTATGTGGTCAATTTGGGTCCATCGCTGGCCAGCTACAGGAGGACGCCAAGTGGCACTTCGGCGCCCACTGTGTCTAAAAGCAGTGCTACTAAGAAACAACTGGTGCTTCGCACACAGTTGCAGCAGACGCTCACTGTTGTCAGTCCGTTCGAATTTAAGCTCATAATTGCCCCCCACGGAGCTTCTGAAGACCTCAGGCCCTACTTGTGCATTCATATCGCCAAGCAGTATAATATCTGAACTAGTATCACTGCGTAGTAGGGCGTTCAGTTCGTGATTGGATGTGTCCTTGACAGCATTTTAACTGCAGTCGGTGGGAGCATAAACGGAAATCACAAACAAACAGCGTTTGGTACTACTTCGTGAATCAACCTTAGCTGATGTCGTCGAACGGGCTGCACATAATCGGCTGTTTACCGGGATTCAATCAACCAACGATGACTTAGCCTTGGAGTTTAGAATGATACCTACACCATCTTGACCCGTGAGTTCTGCATCGGCCTCTTCGGATGCGTGCAACCAATAACGAGAGGATAAGCCGGGTGCAGTTAATTCAATAACATCGTTCGGGTCATTGATCCTACTTTCGGACACACAACGCACATCAATACCCAGTGTGTCCAAGGTGCGTGCGAGTGCAGCCTGTTGACCTGTTTGTCTTAGAGTGGGGATGTTGAGTGTCGCCATGGAAACGGGATAGCGTGACCTTATAAGGGACTTTTGCTGATAGGCGTCCGATAGGTGCGGTGGGATGGTGGCTGCAGATGGTTCTACTCCAGTGACACTTCGGTTGCTGTCAATTAAGCTGGGAATTATAGCAGGAAGGTTAGTAATGGGGGTCGGGATGGGAGTAAGAGAAACAGGTGGAAAAGAAAGAAGGGAGGCGCCAGCAGTAGCATGTTTTCACTTATCCGCCCTGCTGTATGCAGCAGATAAGGTGACCCTTGATAATCTGCGCGACGGCTGATGCAGGATGAAGTTTATGTTTGAAGAAAATGTCATGGTTGTGTGTGGGCTGAGATACTGCCAGGGCGTCCAGACCAAGACAGGAGGACGATTAGGGTCCTCATCCAAAGCCTTTGGCTCAAAAGCCTGTCCGCAAGGCAGCGGGGAGGTGGCAATGATTTAGTTTTACAGAAATGGACGCCATCCCATTTCAAACCCCAACCTGGAGGACCAGGAGACTGAGTTTGTCTGACCTCTCACCAAGGATCAACCTGGTCGGAGTAGCTCTCAAGGTGCCCGGAGGCATCACCCAGTATAGCTCAATGGGTCAATGAGGTACGCAAACCGTCGCACCACGTTAAGGTCCAGTCTCGTTTCGACGGAGCCCATCGAACAGAAAGTTAAAAACTAATGGGCAGAGTGTAGACAAAAAATACAAAACACACGATTACTAAATGAGAGAAATGAAACGTGCAGCCGACTCAAATTGATTGGAAGGCTGAAATCTGTAACAGAAAATCGGTAAAATATATCAACTCGCAAATACTGGCGTTATTCATTCTACGGACACCCAGATATGAGCAATGCCACAAAAAGAACAGCAAGTAATGACACGCTGTGTCTTAATTTGTTAAATGTTATTGTCACGTCTCCGACCCATACAGTCACGATGGATGCACAGTAGCTTCGTAAACCTTCGGCCTCGTTGTTTCAACGGATGGTCCATATCCTGAATCACCCCACGGACCTTCCCGATATATGTAGCGTCCTCTCCCATGATCTGAGCGCCACAAGTGCGACAACCATAGAGATTGTGCGACGAAATCTATTCACACGAGCGCTTCAAAATGGCTATCCAATCAGTCATTAATCGATGAGACGATCGTTGCCAGTGATGACCAGGTAGCCAGAGGAGTAGATGTTTCGAGTGATACTTGCTGTCGCTACCCGATGACATCATATAAGTTTGAAACCGGTCGTGAAGTGGTGTTTTAGCGTGAGCAACACACAATATCTATCTACAGACTATATAAGCTTTTTTCCAGTATCCCGAATAGGGTTTTAATAAGCATGAGGCAAGAGAAAAGGATGTGATAAGAGTAGCGTAGGGTAGATCCAGCAGAGTAATGAGACCTTCGAGGCAGCCGATAAGATGCGAACCGAAAAGCCTCGGCTACTGGTAGCACCAAGCTTCGCTGACTGGATGATATTTGCCGATTGTTGTTCAACTGGATTAAAAATGGAACACCATTCTTGGAACTGCGTCACCGTGGATGGTACTGACCAGATGATATATATGAAAGTGTTGCTCGGACGAGCCAGGTTGTATTTTTCCGCTGTTGGGTTTTCCACAATAAATTGTTTATCCATTATGGGCCAAGCCCTAAGACTAGTGTGTTATGTCAGCAACAGTAAAAAGTGTTGTATCATAAGTAGTAATCGCAGTGCTCACGCTTCATGTAAGTCTGTGGAAAATGAACGGGTAACTAAAACTGTTTGCGTACGTGATAAGAGGGTAAAGGTAACAGCTGAACACAAGTAACGAAAGTCAGGTGAGGATACAGACCAAAAACAGCTAAGTCAGAGAGTACATTAGTATTGCAAAGGAAACACTTACCAGAGTCGATCATATAAGCCACTCGTTGCTTGCTTTTACGATCCAAAAACGAACCCTCAGCGGAGGGCTCTAGATCCACTTTCTCTGCAGTCTTCGTCAAACGCTCAAATAGCTTTTGGATACGGGAGAAGAGCCAACCTGATTCCACCTTTTCAGCACGATCACCTTCATCAGAGGATATAAGTTCGTCTTCGCTTTCCTCATCATGTAGTGTCAACCAATCCGCAGAACAATCAGCAACTTTTGCTGCTGCAAAGGCAGCAGCCGTCACGCTCGAAAACATGGAGCTGAACAATTTACTGTCTAAAAAGAGAAACAAAAGTGGGCGCGAAAGTTTGGTTTCAAAGAAACTGGGAAACAATCGGTAGGTGCGTTTAATTGGCAACACTTGGCTTTCGATGTAAAAACTCAGTCAGGCCAGATGAACTGGTACATAGCTGCTGTGGTATTTAAAAGCGAACCAGTAAGATATACGCGATAACAGAGAGTTAAAGTAATTGTCAATTACAGACACAGTTTGAAAGGTAATTTCCGGCAGGTTGGGATTATTAAAATGGTTTCACTGTCCGTCGTGTCGATTGATACGGTTTTTGTGATAACGACGGTTCGGTCAAACTTCGTTACTTAACTCGATTCACGCATCGATGCTCGTCAGGCTGACCGGATTAAAGTTACACACCACGTACGTCAGAGCCGCACTCCATTTCGATTAACGCAGCTGTTGGTCTCCGCGAGTTCCACGGCCTACGCAAGTAATCACTGTGGTATTACTCCCAAACCTCCCATAACGATCTCGATACTACCCAAGTCGACCCCACACCCGACGTCCAGCGCATGTACTCCTACGACTAAATCGCTTAAAAGCGCACTGTAGTGAAACATATTATTCGTCAGTCACGAAATCTGCCTTTTGTGCTCCAATATCCGTGCTCGTAGTACACTGGTTGTATGACTAATGAATACGTGAGCACAATCCTTACACTTGAAGTTGCGCAAGCTATTAGTTGCCCAAGCTGTGGAAATTGATAATTCAAACGCACCAGCATCGATCCTAAGATTTGGCCCCGCTGAAAGACCGCTCCAATGCACATTATATACAGTACGCTCCGCATTATCTCAGGTGAAATTCCGTCTGCTATATATGGTTGGCGGCATCCGGTTCCGGATTTGCCTGTCACCGTGTTCAGCCACAGGACGCCTGCGCCTACAGAGGGACCATTGGTGGCATGCGCTGCACCACCCACAGCTCCATCCGCACACCCCATATCCAGTGTAAACCCGAAAGAGTAAGGCCAGGAGGCAGGCGGATGGGAGCCACATTTCATCCATGGAGCCGGTCTACACTCCTTCACAGGCAAACACAAGCACAAGGTATTTAGGGAATCAAGCGCACACAAGGCGGTGGCTGGACCGTAGTCCGCTCCACACTGAATGCATGGAACCACTATTCGAGCCTAGCACGGCCACAAGGACCGTCGAATTATGCGAAACTGACACTTCATCCCGAAGTTACTGGGGTCTGCAACATGTGCAGCAAATGCTGCATTCTTCCCCGACACCAATGCGCCAATCGTCGCATTGTTCTCATCAAACCAATCAGGCCGCTTCCAGTTTGCGCGCTCGATGGTCTCCTCGGCAGCAGCTGTCACCTGGTCGCGAATGTAGTGCCACAGGTCGCCCACTGTGGCTATGCAGTCCACATCACACAGGCGTGCAGCCATCGCCTTATCCCGCTCAGTATGTTTCGCCACAGTACCGAGGGGGAGAATGTTAACTTTACGCAGATTCACGGTGGGCGTGCAAAATATATGTACAGTTTGGTTCGCACCAATTTGTGATCAGTGCCACACTCAGCTCCACGCAGTACACGTGTCATGCGCACTTTACACATGTGGCGCTGAGGTACGATAATATAGTCGAGCAGATGGTGACCACTCCGTGGATGCGTCCAAGTGGCTATATCACACGCACTCATTGACTGCTTTGATTAGTGGCTACAAAAGGGAACGAACTTGCAGCCACGATGATCGTGTGTGGAGACACGTTATCAGAGTGCACCTGAACCCATGACAGAAGTCGCGCGTCATTTTGCGCGGGGGAGGTGATACGGAGAGCCAGCACACAGGCCGAGAGCAGTGGCACAACATTGGATCGATCTACAACTAGTGATCGAACTCGAGTACATATCAAAATGCGAATCTACGTGGAATCAACGGCAAGTTGAACTACGAACTTGAACTGTTTGATTTGTGTTAATTAATTTTAAGTGGCATTTCCTATTTTGTGGTGTTAGTGGTTTCCTACAACCTATTTGTTGCGCCATGCTCTCATACAATAGAATAAAAATCCCTCGGTCTGGCTGGTCTCTGGCGTTCTCATTTCGTGCGGGGTTGAGCTGGTTGGGGTCGACACGACAGATGCTGGCAGGTAATCCTTAAAACCAACGGAAACCACAACATATTTCTGGCAATGGAAACCCATGATACATTTCTGGCGACGGTCAGCTGCACGGTAGCAGCAGATTAGCCGTAAATTCAGCGGCGCCACAACAGCGTTTTGTCAGGTTCCCGTTCACATACGATCAGCACCATGTACAAGTGTTCAGCTAGAGATATAGAATACATGAACAATGCGGAGTCATCTGCATGTAAGCAGACATGTTGCACTTTTTAAAAGTCTGTAACTGTCTTGAAACATTAAATTGCCAGAAATCAAATAATATAGATTAATATGGCTATAGTGTTAATAATTGTTTAAGTTTAAATTATTTGTCTTATGAGCTGATTTTACGTTCGTGAGTGACAAATCACGAGCAGGTTGGGGAAATTACGCACCCCAAACTAAAAGTTTGTAAGACAATTCCATATATCACAGTGTGCATTTAAGCCATGTTTATTTCTGAGCTTTTTGGATGTGAGTGGTGTAATATAGATTTCCTTTCGAGTTTCAGCGTGGGTGGAAACTACGAACGTAAAAGGGTAGCATATAACACAGCTGCAATGGAACAAGCCGTTGCTCAAGTTAGAAAAGGTATCATGGGGTACAAGAAAGCTGTCAAATTGTACAACTTGAAAAAGGAGACAATTCGAGACCACGTAAGAGGAAAAGATAGCAAAATGGGAGCTGGTAGAAAAATAGTTCTCACTGAACCAGAAGAATTTTCCAGCTGTTTAAAACTTGTTGCCCAGTGGGGGTTAGATTAACATGCATAGAAATGATTTTATTACTTCTGTTGGTCAAGATAGGACGGTCCCTTTTAAGAATAATTCCCCTGGTCGAGACTGGTCATACAGTATTTCAAAGACATCCAGATCTGACATGCCGAACTGCAAAGCAGCTAAAAATCAAAAGAACAGTTGGCTGCATATAAACAGACAGCTGAAGAGTGGTTTGGAACAAAATTGTCAAGCTCAGCGAACAGTTCAATCGCCATGCCCGAAAGGGTTTACAACGCTGATGAGAGTGGCTTTTCACTCCACCCTAAGTAACGGAAAGTGATTTGTGAAAAGAGGATCAAAAAGTGTTCGTGTCATTAGTGACTCATGGAAAGACTCTATCACAGTACAATAATGTGCTCGGGCTGATGAGACCATGGTTTCCCATATATCCTTGATGGGGCCAAAAATCCAAGTTTCTTGGACGCAAAATGGACCTAACAATGCTGGAAAAGGTTGGATGGACAATGCTTGTTTTAGTGACTGGTTTATAAACTATTTCATTCCATTTCTACCAGAAGGTAGACCTGTCCTGTTAATTGTTGGCCGACATGCTTCACATGTGATTATTAAAGTTATTAGAGCAGCAAGTCAAAATGGTGTTACTATTATGAAACTTCCATCAAATTCAACCCACTTGCTCCAACCTCATGATGTGGGTATCCATGGACCAGTGAAAACAGAGTGGGATAAAATTCGTATTAAATTTGCCAGGCAGAACTTAGGTACAGGCTTACCTAAAGAGCTATTTTCTAAGCTGAAAAAGTTATGGGAAAGTGACTGTCTGAGCGAAGGGAATATTGAATCCGGATTTAACAAGTGTACCATGATGCCGTCTGACCCTTCCAAAATTCCATCCTCTGTGCATGAATCTGCAGAATATGTGGGCAGCGTACAAACATCAACAGCGCATGACGCAAGCTGCACAAGTATGGGCATACGGCAAAAGGACAATGAATTGCATCAGTCAGCCGTTTCAGTTCTGTCAACAGATTCTGCCATTCTTTATTTCAAATTTCCACATCCAGAAAATAATCTCATGTTGAGAAGCAGAGCGATCAAAGAAAGTTTATTAGGCACTATTTTCTCAACAGGCTATCACCAATTCACAAACAAAACACATCTAAAACTCAGAGAAAGGCAATTACAAGACATTATGGAAAAAGTGTCTGCTCAGGAATGTGTGGTATGATTGGAGCAGCAAGAAGTAGCAAATGTAGAAAAAATCACAAGACCAGTGAGAAGCTTGCATAAAAATAAATTAGATCGTAAGCATCGAAGTGATTTTGACAAAAAGAAACCCTGCAGTTCACATGGTCAAGTCTTTGCAAAGGCAGCAAAAATCCCACGATCACAGAGACATCCGTCAAATGAAGTGCATTTATTCAATAAGACTACGAATGTTTAGGCAAAGATGCCCAGCTCAGAAATGATTCCAAGGAAAAGCAGAGAAGCGGTTTAGAATGTTGCAGTGATATGGATTTTTCCATATCGTACAGTGATGATGAGTGGTTGCTCTCAAAGGTATTTAGTAGAAACACATTTGAGAAACGAAGTTTCTGAGAGACATAACATCAAGCGCCTGCCAAGTGTTCGGTTATGGTGCCTGAAAATTTTGAGTATTGCTATTTATCAAAATATCAATAAAATGCTAATATCTTGGTTACAACTGTGTTTTTTGCAAAGTTCTTTCGGCAACATTGAACTTATTGCTATCCAGATAATATATGATCGTGAATATTGTTAATTATTTAGTTTCTTTATAAATAGTTCAAAAAGTAGGTGCGGAATTACCTCAACTTAATATATATATATATATATATATATACAATAAGAACTGTCTATACAATGGACGGAAACCGAAAACTACGTAGTGTGTATAACAAGTACAAAGATCACAAAGCGGGAAAAACAAAGAAAGGCGTTGTGTGCTTTTTAAACGAGGTTTAGTCCGTTTTATCAGTTTTGTGATTGTGACTATAAGTAGAATCAGTGCACAAATTCATTCAAGTGCTAGATTGTCTCGATTTAGTGCCATTTTCTCAAGTGTCTCCAATCAGCTGTGTTCTTCATCCTTAACTCACCGCC